AAAATTGTGTACTGTAAAACTCAATTCATGATCAAACAACTGAAATAAATTAAAAAAAGTATTTAATACCCTTCCCTTGTTTGACGACTATAACTTTAAAAAAAATATTAATAGTAATAAAGAAAGAATTGCTTTTTATTGAAGTATTGGTGATGGATAATCTACATGATAAATGCTGAATATTTATTTACATACCATCCTGGAAAGCAATAGCATTGTAGCAATAGGTTTTTTTGGGGGGACATAATGCATAGTACTGCAGTAGTGGATATTTATTTGGCATTTAATGACACATTTCAGTATTTAACGTGCTACGTACGTTGGTGTTTGTTAGTGAGGTCTGTAACGGAGGGTAAGCGAAGAAGAATTCGGTGTCCTTTTCAATCTTTTAATAACTTATTATTTGATGATAGGAATCTTTCGAGCATCTTTTGATAAATTTTATATTCTATGTATCTATCTGTGTAAGAGTTCTTTCACTGTATTGGCAGATCATAATTATTTAAATTTTGATTTTTTTTCTTTTTTATTTTATAAATATTATTTTGATTTTAGAAATTTCGTTTCTTTCGTTTATACTTTTTTTTTTTTACTTTTTCATCTTTCTCAACCTTTTAATTTTCTTATAATTTTTGAAGATTTATCCACCGTTCATTGATTAATCGAGTTGAGCACCTTAAGAGCTCTACCAAGTTTTTAACATAGTTGCATATCAAAAATTTAAACTCAAAAACACTGATTAAGCTGAAATAACTCATGTCAATTCATTTATATGCTTAGTGGTTAACATTTTTATATTTTAAAATAGTGATATTTATTTTTAATAAATTAAAAACACATACTTTATCATAAAAATATACATTATTAAAAAAATTATAAAATATTATTTTATTACATGTGTATAAATTAAATATTTTTTAATGTTAATCATTAAGATGTTAAAAATAAGAATATTTAAATAAATTCCCGTAAGATAACACTGTTAGTAGAGATGTGAAAAATAGGGGTGTTAACGGACCGAGCCGAGCTTTGATCTTAACGGGCCAAGTCTGTATTTAAACGTGTCTGACTGGCCTTAGCCGGTTATCTGTTACCTGTTACGAATATAATATTGGCCTGTGGCCTGATTTATTTACAAAAAATAAAAGCATGTGTGAAGCCTGTCTTAGCCTGTTAGCATGTTAAAGAATAAAAATAAGAGAACAGAATTCCACAAAAAATCAATTTCCAGATAGAAACCATAGCTTCCAATTTGCAGCAATAATTTACAAAGTCTACAATAAATAAAAAAAATTAAAGTGAGAGAAGATAGATAACATGTTATATTATCTTAGCTCATTATAAAAAAAGTGCCAACAAAAATAAAAATAAAATAAATAAAATAAAAAATAAATTGACACAAACGAGCAGTGCACAGTGGAACAAATGAGTTTTTGTGGGTATGTTTGTGTGAAGGAGGATGAAGGATAAAATAGAACAACACTATTAATTCCATAAATATACATAAATTCAATATATATCCAAATAGCATAATATGGAACAAAATCATTCAAAAAGTCTGTTAAACCAATAAAATAGGGTGAAATAAATTGATGAGAGAGAGTTATTACAAGTAGTATAAAAAGTATAAATAAATATTTATATACTAGGTTAGCCTGGGAGGCTCTAAGGCCGAGCTTCTGAATTAGAGTCTGAGGCCTTTTTATTAAACGAGCTTTTATACAAGTCCAATCTGGTTCCAACACGAATTTTTATTAAACGAGCTCAGGCCTTTACGAGCCGAGCCAAAGACCCCTGAAAGGCCTCTGGCTCGTTTACCACCCCTAATGAAAAATATAATAAGAACCGTATAATATACTATTCCTACTTCTGAGTCTACGGTGGATTTATATTTATTTATACTAATAATATTAGGAAAAAGTATTTGTTATTTTAAATGACATAAAATTATGTCATTTTAAGAGAGAGATAGACACATAATAATTTCTTTTATTTAAATTTTAAATTTTAAAAAAAAATCAATCATTTTCTCTCCCATGATTTTTATTCTTTGTGTCTATCTCTCTTTTAAATAACATAACTTGTGTCATTTAAAATGACAAATATCAAATCCGTAATATTAACATAAGATGCGTCAATATTTTTATAAAAATAACATAGTAAATAGATATTCTGGTTAGAATATCATGTCGTTAAATAAAACTGATCAATGTATAATTAGTATGAAGTTAGAAAATTATTTTATAATATCGACAGATAAAATGATTATAAATATATATTTATGTCCTAATTTTTAATTTTTTTGGTGTGGTGTCCTAAAAGTTAATAATAAAGCTTTCTTTTTTGAATATATTGGTGAGAATTGAACACATAATCTAATATAACTTACTCAAAATCTTCACCACTAAATCAATCCTAATGGCTTATAAAGTTTATTATTGTAGATACTAATTATAAAGCTTTCTTTAAACTAACTAAATTAATTCAAATTCGTACTGAATATTTATTCATCAAATAAATAAACTTATTAATATAGATGTTTAGTTTAAGAAAATAATATTTCTCATGTTATAGAAGATAAAACGAGATAAAATTATTTCTTACATACATATAAATGTGTGAGATTTATATTTTTTTTTCTCTTTCTTTTCTTTATATAACCCCATATGAATCTCACATTTTTTTATATATGTGTAAGAAATAAATTTTATCTCTTATAATATCCTTAATTTAATCAACTAGTTTGTATAAAAGAATATCTAATCAAAAGGGCACGGGGGCGTAAAAAATTTACTTGAGGTATTGTATTATGCTATCTTTAAGAAAGTAAATTCTCCTATCTCCATTTTCAAATTCCCATATCGTGCAACTGCAAAATGATTAAATGAGTTGTCCTTGTTGTGGCAGTGTCCCCAAATAAGGACAGTTGCCTTTGTGAGCTCGATACCGCATCTAAGCACTCATCAGTTCAATTAATATAATTAATACTTGTTGAGACAACTTTATGAAGATGAAAATTTGCAAAACACAACTACGTGGGTAGGTGTGATAGTTCAGCATCTCATTCTTTAAGCAAGTAGTTGGGGGTTTGAACCTCAACTCTTGTGAATGAAAAACATTTTGTAGCCAACTCTTTACCGCTTTATACGCTGACTCGGGACGAGAGATTAGTCTCATGACTATCAGCCGTGAAGATACCCGGATGTAATCCAAAAAAAAAAAAAATTGCAAAACACGAGTTTTGCGTATGGACCCTACCCCGGTTGGATCATGTTATGTTGCAATGGTGCATGTGATTGTGGATAGCAAAGCTTGCGTACCACTCCAAGACCACCACCATATTGAGGCCATTGCTCTTTCACTAGAATCCAAGAAAAACATCACTGTCAACCCTTGCTCGGTGGTCTTTATTTCACCCTCTTTCAGGGTCCCCTCCTCTACTATTAAGTGTCTCACTCAGTCTCATGTACTATCTTTTCTTTTCTTTTCTTTTTAAAATCACAAAGCAATTTTATTTGAGGTGAATTCAGAATAAAATTTTTAAATTTCTCCCAAAAAAAATATTGGGAAAATCAAATATATGCGCTCATGTACCATTTTCTTTCCTCCCACAATGACCCCGTTTTTGTCTTCTTTCACTCTACATTTTTTATTTACTTTGTTGTTTTGTTTTTAATTTTCATATGCACATCATTAATACCGAAATTTCTTTAATGGTATTGGAATATCGAATTCGGTACTCTTTTTTATTAGATAGGAAGATTTTTTTTTCATACTTTTCTTTATATTATTTTTCAAATCCCAAAAACTCACATTTTTAAATATGAATATACCTGCATCCGGTGCTGCATTGAAGGTTTTTTTTTTTTTTTTTTTTTCCAGAAATACATATTACATAGTTATGGGACAGGAATTTATGACATTGATTACCTTCTCAGAAGCTTTCTTGTTTTTAGAGAAAAAAAAATTAAAAAAAGAAAGATTGTCTTATTTAAAATTAATAACATGTCACCTTGATAATAGTTTACCTTAATATTTATAAATCGTCCTTCAAAAGAAAATTGCTCTGGGAGAACATTCAACTTAATCTTTCCACATAAAGTATTTCAATCTCTATCTTCTCATAGACTTTTCTGTGATGAAAACACTCCTAATATCATAATGATCATCGAATTACCCAAGAAAGATTTTTGGGTTACGGTTTACAATTGTAATGCTCGATAAAAGTCCAAGGGATAATAGTTAGGCAATAATCAACCACAAAAGGTCATCGGATAGTGTAATATGAGCTGCCATAGAACTCTTAATGGGACCATTGCTATTGTCTAATTTCTCATTATCTATTGAATTGATGTTTACTTTATTAACTGATAAAAATGATCCTAAAGTTCTGCTTTTTGTCCATTACATAGCAATGTCACGGGTGCCATATTTTCCACTCATCTTCCAAAGTACTCTAGAGTATGCCACCTTAAATATATACAACTTCTTATCAAGCCTTCAATGGGTGGGGATGAATTAGTCACTTCTTGCTAATCCATTTTATTGAACTCCTTTTCTTTCTTATGCACAAATATGGTTGGATTAGACCCTTTGCTTTTTTTCCCCTAAACAACATGTAATTTAAAACTCAACCAATAACTTAATTGATGATCATTATTATGTGTCACGGAAGTCAATTAACCATTAATAATATGAGATCATGTGGGGGGGTTGATTGAGGACGTATCAGAACAAGATTTAGACACATGGCACATCTTATTATCAATAAATCACTTTCTCAAGATGGTTAACAAGTGCTGCCAGATGACAACAAAAGCAACTAGGCAACCTCCATTGAACTTAAATCAAAGTAAAGTTTGGTAATTATCCCCTATTGACAACAACACTTTAATTCAACTTTCTCACTGAAAATCAGTAAACAAAAAATATATACTTTTATATATATTCTTAATACAAATTAAGACCTTTCTGTTCTTGAGCCTCTCTCTGACCCACCCCAACTGCCTCTCTCTCCCTCTCTCTCTCAGAAGGAGAAGGAGAAGGGGTCTGTTACTTCACTTTTTCCTTTCTTTGAGTTTCCTTAAAGCATGAGTGGATTCTTGAATACATAAAGTTCATATTTTTATTGCTTTGTAGCAATTTTAAACTTGATCTAAGTTGCAAACTCAAGTGGAAAGAGTTCAACTTTTCTACCTCTGCCATGGATTTATCTGAGTTCTGTCTCTGCCAATTCCTGAGTTCATGTTCTCAAGATACACTTGTTCTGGCTCTTGCCCTTTTCACCAAAGACTGTTCTGGGTTGATCCATAACCTTCCTTCTCATTGCTTTGGTGTCACTACATGGGGGGCTTCTTCAATTTGACATCTGTTTTTTCTTCCTTAAAGTTATCAACTTCCAAATCTGTAATTTATTCTCCAATTTATTAGTGTTTAACTTATTTTTGAGGAGGTTGTGGTATGAAGATGGGGCTGGTTTTGGCACTGATTCTTCAGCTGGTGAAGCTCTACATCATTGGCTTTACTGTTGCATTCCAAGGTTCCGAAGGTATCTACTTAATCTTCAGAACTCTTTGTTGAAGTTTATCATTTTAGAAACCTGGCCATAGTTTATCTCAATGATTTTGATTTATGACCAAATTTATGCTTAGGCTTGGAGAACTTGATCTGGATCAGCATACATGTTTTTTTAATTGTTGTTATTATAATAATACCATAGAGAACATAAACATTATTGTTGAGTTTGCAATCAAATTGTTGATTTAAACCTTCATACTTAAAAGCTTAGATCACCAAATGGGGCATCTGATGTCTTCTTTTTTTGTTTTTTGTTTTTTTTTTGGTTGTCCTCTTGCATTGCTTATAAAATCTAATTTTGGTTTGAATATATTAAATAAGGCAAGCTGCTGGTGGATTTTGAACCCATTGTTGCACCCTCACTCTTGTTCTTGTGATGCATACAAATAAATGCTTATAGGTTTTACTGGTTTAAGAAGGTTATAATCCCCATAATCATTGCTAGACCAAAGAGGTTCTTCTAGTGAGGGTACTCTTTGCATGTGGATTGATTTTTTTGTCCCTCTTTAAATGACCATTATAGGAAGGTACTGTTGTTCCTTAGAATCTAACGGTCTACTATATTTAAATTTGTAGAAGTAGAAAGATGAACTCTGAATTCGTTCAAAATTTTCCTTTCATTGGCACAGAGATCCTTTGCTTTTATTTCAAATTTAATTATCCAGATACACTACAAAGTACAAACCCAATCGAAAGATAAAGAAATACCAAGATTCTAAAATGTGAAATTCTGCAGAAGATACTGCTTATATGAGCCCATATGCTTGCTTGATTAGTAGTCTGAGTCATCTGATTTAATAATTTTTGGCTTGCTGATAAAAGTTTGAATAATTTTCCTTTTCTCCCATGGAATTTTTGGCTTTCTAACTGATAATGTCTTCTTCAAGGGTCTATTATATCCCCATCTCCAGCATTTGTCATTCATCCTAGAGGAGAAACACCTGGTCCCATCCATCATGGACAGACATGGGGAAGCAGTGCACCAAGCTCTCCTTCAGATCCAGATGGTATATCTAATCTAAATGTCATACAAAACGGGTTTGAATTTTGAACATGATTATTCACTGTCCCTATTAGTATCTGCTAGTATTTGATACTTCTTTTCCTTCTTCAGGGTTTGTTTTATCCCCATCTCCAGCAACCTTACCTGTGGATCCTTCCCCCAGTGAAGCGCCTGGCCTTTTACCCCCAAGAGATCTAGGGAGAACCATTTCCCCAAGCTCTCCAGAAGCACCAAATGGTCCAGGGTCATTGTTGCACCCTCCAGTTACATTACCACTTCCTAAGTCAGCTCCAACTCCTCAAAAGATTAAAGGAGTTGAACCATCCATTTCTCCTAGTCCTAGTCCAAGCACCATAACATTATCACCACCATATATGGCTCCTCCTGCACCATCCACTGCTCCAGAGAATGTGCCACCGTCCATACAACCAAGTCCACCTCAAAGGAAAGCACCTACTGTTAGGCCTCCCGTATCCACACCAATTGCTCCAGGTACATGACTGAGAAGTTTCTTTTCTGGGGGAAACCTTGCCATTGATATTGACACGAATTATGATATTCTATTGCTTCTTGAACAGCTCCAGTTGCAATACCTTCTAGCAATTTGCCAAAAACTTCACCAGTCAGCCAACCAATAGAACATGGAAGTTTGCCTCCTAAGATTGATAAGAGGAATGCAAGTAAGAGTTACACCCCAGAGCCAGTTTCACCAGGTATGTGATAAAAAAATATTGTCATGTGATGAATAGAATTCTTACTAGATATCCATTTCATCATCCCCAGCTTCCAATTGGTATTGACCCAAAATATGCTCTTCAATTGAAAATTTCAACAGCGCCAGTTGCTATACCTTCTACCAATTTGCCTAAAATTTCACCAGGGAGGCAACCAACTGAAAATGGAAGTTTGCCTCCAAATGTTCATAGAAAGGGTGCAAATAAAGGTCATACCCCAGAGCCAATTTCACCAGGCATGTGATAAAAGTGAAAATTTAGTCTTCTGAAATTTCATTTTTTTCATCTCCAACTTCCATATGGTATTGACCCAAAAGTATGCTCTTCTAATGCAATTTGAACAGCTCCTGTTGTATTCAATTTGCCCAAATATTCGCCGGTGAGTCAGCCAACTAACAATGGAAGTTTGCCTCCAACTGTTCATAGAAGAAAATCCAACTCGAGTCACGCATGGGAGCCAGTTTCACAAGGTGATTCTACTTGGTTATAACTTCTTTTTTTCTTCATTGCTAATTTCCAGCTGGCATTGGCCCTGAATATGCTTTTCCATGGCATTTGGAGCAGCCCCAGTTTCAATACCTCCTGCAATTTTGCCAAAAAATTCACCACTCAGCCAACCAACTCATCATGGAAGTTTTCCACCTAATGTTCATAAAAGAACTGCAAATATGGGTCATGCTCACACCCCAGGGCCAGTACCACCACGTATGTTATATAGTCTTATCAAATCATCTCTAAAATTCAATTATATGGTTCTAAACTTCCTATTTTTCATTAAAGCACAGAATCTGTTGCATCCCCACCATGGAAAATGGAAAATAACCAGCCAGTAGGTCACCCTATTTTACCAGAATTAACTCCATCCATATTACCTGGTAAATCTTATTACCTTATTTGATGAAAGAAGGGTGAAAGATAAAACATCTATTTTTAATTTTATCAGAGAATCATTTGTATTTGTCTCTTTGTTTATTTTTAATTTTATCAGAGAATCATTTGTATTTGTCTCTTTGTTTATTCTTTTACTGTATTCATGCAGCACCAGTTACATCACCAACAAGTCCATTTCCAGTTCATCCGCCATTGATCCACCCAGTCATACCAGCAGCATCTCCATCCAAATTACCAGGTGAAAATTTTGAGAAATGATTTGTTCTGTTTCCCCGCCCCCCTGCCCCAGTGAAATTTGTTGTTTGTTTTAAAATATTTTATAGTTGCATTTTTATGTTAAATCATTTAATTTCTTCATTGCCACATTGATAGTCACTCTACACTTTAAATGATGGAAGTTTAAAACGAATCTTATGTAGAATGGTATATTTTGTTGCTGGTCTGAATTGCTATTACTGTTGATAATCCAGAAAGAGATGTGATTGTATCTCTCATTTCAGTATCACATAGTAATATGACGATGAGTTGAGGAATGTGTATTAGATATCTTAACAATTTAATTGATATTAAAATTAACAATCATGACTGGTATGTAATGTTTCCTTAACATGCCTACCTTTTGCTCCATGCAAAGTGAAACAATAAAGAATGATCATTAGGCTGTGTAACAGATAAAATGTTGTTTATGAGTACTTATGCATGCAAGATATTCAAGAGAACTAAAAATGATGAAATTGCTACTACGCATGCAGAATATGTAGCCACTAAAATGCCTTTATTCATAATGAGTTTAGTTACAACTATCGGCATTCGCACTTTTAAGTTAGTAGCTTTAAAATGAAGAATCTTTATTGTTAAGAACCTTGGGATACACCACCCCAAAAGCTAGCTCAAAGGGTGGGAGTGCCCAAGGCCTTATAAACTCCACATTAGTTGCTCTTCAACCAATGTGGGACTATATATCTCAACATTTATTCATGAACCTCTTATATTTATTTAATTGATTTTATCTCTATAAATATCATTCTAGAGTGTTCAAAATTTGTATCTGATTGCGATAACTTCTTTTACGTTTTTAATGCTATCATGAAATCACTCTTCAATTCATGCACACATAATTGGCACAAACATGTGGTGCAGCTCCTGTTGTCTCTCCTGCATTAACTCCTTCCGGAAGCTTCAATTGGAAAAAAGGTGGAGAACCAGTTTCTGCACCTTTGTACAAAACTCCAAAGCCACTACCGGCTATAGTACACTCCCCTGCTCAAGGTATTTGGTAACATTAAACTACTTTTGATGAGTTGCAAATTCTTACTGAGGGTTGTCCATTGTACTAACAGCATAATATTGAAAGATTTCTGTAACAATACAGTTCAAACTTCAAAATTGATTAAGTAATACTGTCAAAGACCAACTCTCTTACTCTCCCCAAAACCTAAGCTTTTGGTTTTATATCTCTAAATATCTCTTCACGCAAGAGTCCATTAGTTTTGAAAAGTGGACAAAATACTCAAGAATATTTTACCTTGTATTGAAATTCAACCTGGTTATGGTGAATGGAGATGGCAAGGATTGCGCTTATGATCACTTGGTTAAAAAGGTTCTAATGTCATGTCAAAACTTACTCCATTAAAAGTTTAAGCTTTTTTGGTGGCACCATAGGAATATTATTTTTCTAGGAAAAATAAAAAATTGGAATTATATGCTTAAGTTCTTTTGGAAATGTAGTTACAATATTTAAAATGATCTTAAGCGTTACCATTCTTTTATACCATGTTCAGTTCTATAATTGACTCAAAACCTAAGTTTTAGCTGATAGAAAATAGTGCGAACAAGGAATGTAAATAATAAAACACATACACCCTAATCGAATATATATCTATACACACACAAACAGACACAATTAATTTATTTATATATATATTTTTTCTTCTGTAGCTCCTGCTGCACATACAGCAAGGCAATTTCGTCATGCTCCTGAGCCAATGATTTCATCTCCTAAATCTCCTTTGAATAAAGAAGATCATTCTCCTGCATCTTCACCTTCAACCACATTTTATAAGCATCACCATACAAGGAACACAATAACCAGTCCTGCTCCTGCATCATCATATTTGGTTTCTCCTCCCAGTTCGAAACACCAAGGTTTGGTTTGTTAAATGTTCATTGCATTGTGCCACAAATTAAGTTTTTTTAACTGCAATTGAATATATACTACTTTTTGTTTGGTTATTTTATATAGATCAACCAATTCCTCCCTCATTACTGCCAACAAGTGGAAGAAGACACAATGCTCCATCACCAATGAACACAGGTATCTATAAAAATGTGGTGAAGTTTTAAGATGTTTCTTATATACCAAAAGTAAGAAAGGCTAAAATACCATACTTATTACAAATATTTTAGAAAATCTTGTCTTTTCATTATCATCCACTCACCCGTTTGCATCCATTCATTGTGTTTGTCATTTCAAGTTCAATTTCATCCTCCTAAAGTATCTCCTTCTCGGCCTTCTTCCAAGAGCCCTAAGATGCCAGTCCTGCCTCAAGTTAAAGCACTGCCACCCCCACCTCCCAATGAAGGTTAGCACTTTGTTTGTTTAATCTCTTTATTGCAGGATTTATGGCTGCTCATATCTGTACTTTTTTACTATATTCACCATTCTGAAATATGCATGCCAATTCTTCATTTTTTTAGATTGTTTATCAACTGTTTGCTCAGAGCCCTACACAAATTCTCCACCTGGAGCCCCTTGTAGATGTGTCTGGCCCATGAAAGTTGGCCTTCGCCTTGGTGTTTCTCTGTATACATTCTTCCCTTTGGTTTCAGAGCTTGCTTCTGAAATTGCCTCTGGGGTTTTCATGAGACAAAGTCAAGTTCGCATTATGGGAGCCAATGCAGCAAGCCAGCAACCAGATAAAACTATTGCCCTCATTGATTTGGTACCACTTGGGGAAGAATTTGATAACACTACAGCCTTTTTGACTTCTGAGAGATTTTGGCACAAACAGGTTGCTATAAAAGCATCTTACTTTGGTGATTATGACGTGTTGTATGTGAGCTATCCAGGTATATATAAATTCTCAATTTCTTGTATTCTCTTCATGACATTTTTGGTTAGAAATTTTATGGGGTCCTCTAAATATAGGTTTACCCCCATCTCCTCCTTTACCACCTTCAAGCATTACCATGATAGATGGTGGCCCATATTCAACTGATGGAAATAATGGTAGGACAATAAAGCCCCTTGGGGTTGACATACAGAAGAGGCCGCATAAAGGTGGACTTAGCAAGGGCATAATAGCTATTATTGCTCTTTCTGTTTTTCTAGCAGTTGTTTTATGCTTTGCTGCTGTTTGGGCCTTGTTCAAGCACAGAGATCATGTAAGTCAACCAACATCAACCCCACGGGTTTTGCCTTCTCTCACCAAAGCACCAGGTAATACAAGTGGTAATGTCTTATAATTCGGTAGATTAGTGCATTTTTCCCTGTTAGAACCTTTGTCTTGGTTGATCATTAAAAACAGCACTATGTTCTACCAAAAAATAAAAGAAAAACGCTGTATTTACAAATTACTAACCGGATTTTTAGTATTTATCTCATTTAATAGAATTAAGAAAGAAATGGCAGGCAGAGTTTTGTGCAGAAAAAAAAAAGTTCAGTTGCAATAATTTAAATAAATAAGATCATTTTCACAAGTATGGTATTTTGAAACTAAATAATTGGTGTCCTATAATTTTGAGTGTTTCTTTATCACCCAATTACTGTGTCAATTTGATTGTTTTATCATTTATCAGCCATTTTGATTAAGAGGCAAGCATATGAATTGAACAGGTACTGCTGGGTCATTAGCTGGAGGCGGGCGTGCTTCAGCTTCATCATCATTTCGATCTAGCATTGCTGCTTATACAGGATCTGCTAAGACTTACAGTATGAATGACATTGAGAAAGCCACTGATAATTTTCATGATTCTAGAATACTTGGAGAAGGTGGTTTTGGGCGTGTTTATGGTGGTATCCTTGAAGATGGAACAAAAGTGGCAGTCAAGGTTCTAAAAAGGGAGGATCATCATGGTGATCGTGAATTCTTATCTGAAGTTGAGATGCTTAGCCGCCTTCACCATAGAAATTTGGTTAAGTTGATTGGTATATGTGCAGAGGTCAGCTTCCGCTGCCTGCTTTATGAACTCATTCCAAATGGCAGCGTTGAATCCCATTTACATGGTACTTAAATCTGTTTGCTTCATCTTCAAGTACCATGCCAATTTGTTTAGTTCTTCAAGATAATGGTTTTCTTATATTTGGTCTTCTGGTAGGGGTTGACCGGGAAAACAACCCACTTGATTGGAGTGCTCGGACACTTGATTGGAGTGCTCGGATAAAGATAGCTCTTGGCGCTGCTCGTGGTCTGGCTTATCTGCATGAAGATTCAAGTCCTCATGTCATACACAGGGACTTCAAGTCTAGCAATATCTTGCTGGAAGATGATTTTACACCAAAAGTATCTGATTTTGGATTGGCTCGAGCAGCAACAGATGAGGAGAACAGACACATATCGACACGTGTCATGGGAACTTTTGGGTACACAATTTTCTTACTTTCTTGTTTTTGTTTTGGAAAGTTTTATCTACAAGTTATCTTTTCACCTCAGTACCCTTGGCTTTGGCTTGTCACTCTTAACATAATAAATATGTGAAGGTTGATTCAAGTTGAAACTAGTTAAATCAAATTAACTAGTTTATTCACCATATCTAAAGACATTTGCTTTTGTAATCAGTTATATTAAGAATCTGCAATTTTTCGAACTTGTATACTGTCTGAAATAATTTTTAACTGATATTTATTTTTGAAGTGGAGGTATAACAATAAACACAGGTCAGTGCTCTTTCTGGTAGTTCACTGTGGAACTAGATATCCACCTATATCTTGCGTCTAAGTTATCCCATTGGATAAGTGACTAATAAAGTCTCGGTGCCAAAAAACTATGATCTCAAAATTGCATAGCACATTAACCACTCGAGCATACGTTTGAATAAGATGAACAAACAATCACGAGAAGTGGAGAGGATATATGATATTTAATCCTGATTAGTTTCAGTTGTCTACCTTCTAATGTCCCCCCTTTTTTTTTGGATATAAGTGAGAATTGAACAGATAACCTGATATAATTTACCCAAACCCCTCACTACTAGACCAATCCTAGTGGCTTTCTAATGACCTATTTTCTTATCAGTTGCTATCATTAGTGCTTGTTGTCATTGGACAACTATTGTAATTCCTTGTTGAGTTTTACTATCATGCATTCACTGATAAATATTTTCTTTCATATTTGAAAAACTAATTCAGTTATGTGGCTCCGGAGTACGCAATGACTGGGCATCTACTTGTGAAGAGCGATGTTTACAGCTATGGTGTTGTTCTTCTTGAGCTTTTGACAGGAAGAAAGCCAGTAGATATGTCACAACCTCCTGGTGAAGAGAATCTCGTTGCATGGGCTCGCCCACTCCTCACAAGTAGAGAAGGATTGGAAGCAATAATAGATCCATCTCTCGGAACTGATGTGCCTTTTGATAGTGTGGCTAAAGTTGCAGCCATTGCTTCAATGTGTGTACAACCAGAGGTATCAGATCGTCCTTTTATGGGTGAGGTTGTTCAAGCTTTAAAACTCGTATGTAATGAATGTGATGAAGCAAAAGAAGCAGGTTCAAGAAGTTCTAGCCAGGAGGGTTTATCTGTTGATTTGAATAATGTTTCTGGACAACTACCAGATAATTTCCAAAGCCAATTCTCAGCCACTAACTACGATTCTGGAGTTGATATCGAAAATGCGTTGTCAGCATCAGAGTTATTCAGCTCGTCAGCAAGATTTGGAAGGCAAGCTTCTGGATCATTTAGAAGACATTCTTATTCGGGTCCTCTGAGAACCGGAAGAAGCAGGCGGTTGTGGCAGATAATTAGAAAGCTTTCTGGTGGTAGTGTCAGTGAACATGGAAGAATGTTCAAGTTATGACCAGGTTCTGATTGAGTCATTGCATTTTTTGAATTTTCTTTGTGCATATTGCTCTCCTTCAACTTGTTAATCTGCAGTTCACAACTCTGCTAGAGGCATTGCTTCTCTGCCTGAGCCCTTTGAAGTTTGACAAATAGAATACAAGCCTATTGTAAATAGGATGTGACATGTTTTGTTTCTTCTAACCTGTAAAATCATATGTAACTGGTACTAACTCTGTGAAGAGGGTAAGCAATGCAAATCTAGCTTGATAATAGATGATGACTGAAGTTGGCTTTTACTAAGACCTTCATTGTCAAATACAAAATGCAGTCTTTGCAGATGCAGCACAATAAAAACGAGTCAGAAGAGTTTTGTAATGTTCAAGTTGTCAATACTCCCACTTGTAGTTAGATGAGGACGGAATGGAATCTGTTTAATTAGTTGTGTGGAATTGAACGATGGCTTTAGGCCTAATTTAAAGCCCATACACTCCTATCCCTTAATACATGAAATGTGCTTTAATTTATTTTAATGTAAACGAATCTGTTAGCATATTTCGTCTTTGTGCAGTTTTGACTTCTGAGTGTCACTTCGCTCAAAATCTTCATTTCATCTGCTAAAGTACTGAAGTGAAGTCTATAATAAAGTTCAAGACTAGCTATTGATGATGCTGAGAGTTACAAAGAGAGACAAAGGCTTGCTAATATTAAAATACGCTAAAGTACAACATATGAACTATGCTACGAGGCACCGACACTTCAAAAATTCTGACACGTGTCCGACACTTCTGGACACTCCGACACTCCTCGATACTCCAACACGCGTTATAAAAATTCAAAAAAAGGTTCAAAAGTTAAGTTGCGTTGAGTTTTTAGTTTCAATTATTAGATTCGTTGGATTACGATTACTATTTTATTGAGTTTAATATAAATATTTGAGATATCTTATGTTTCTTTGCAAAATTTATGAATATTATAAGTTTAGATACATTTTTTTGTTAAATTATTGAATATTAAATATAATATATACTACATAAATTAAAAATTATTTAATATCAAAACGTGTCCTAACGTGTCGAAATTTAACATTTTTTAAAATTAATGTGTCGGAGTGTCGTGTCGTGTCGTGTCGTGTCACGTGTCTCGTGTCAGTATCGGTGCTACATAGGAACTATGTGACTCAACTATACAACCAAATGTGTGCATATATAGTACTAATGTGATAAAATACAACTATACAATTTCCTAATTTCTATAATTACATGATTTGGGTTGACTCTATCTAGGGATGTAAATAGGTTAGGTTAAGTTAGGTTTGGCTTTGGCTTAAATAGGCCATGCCTTATTAAAAATACTTAGGCATGGCCCGGCCTGTTAGCCTTGTGTAGGTCTAAATTATATGTTTGGTTTGACCTATATTTAAAAATTTAAAATCTTGGCTAGGCCTGTTAGTCTGTTTAAGCCTATTAAACATTCAATTATTAAAAAATAACTAAAATAATTTACTTTATTATTCAAAATTATTAAGATAATAATTTTATTTATTTTCTTTAAAATAAATAATATGATATAGGTCACCCTGTAGGCTTATAGGCCTGACATGTATGAAAAAACTTATGGCTTGCTTTCTAAATAGGTTTTTTTTTTTAAATCTTAGGCCTGTTTTATTTGATTATTTATATAAGTCAAAACCGACCTAATATAGGCTAGGCCGTAGGCTTACCTAACCCATTTACCCCACTAACTCTAATCTTTAGCATTAATGTTAGAATTAAGTGCTTATTATTAAATCAAAAATAACTCTTGGGAGGTGTTTGGTACCGGAGATATTTTTTTACCGGGAAAAAAAGATTTCTAAGAATATGGTGGAATTTTTTTTTCTAGGAAAGTAACAAAAAAGTGTTTGGTATGCTAAAATTTTAGTGGGCAAATGAGGTTAATTTTATTGATGGTATGTTTGGTTGATGGTAGAACATTGAAGGGAATCTCAACAGTGACCAAATTACCCATAAATTTTGAATTTGTATCTCTGTCATCAAACATTCCTCTTGTGCGTTGTCTCCCTATGTCCAGGTTGGAATGGTTGTTTTAGAAAATCAGAGAAATCATCTCTGTTCCTCCATCCGGTCGAGAACTCATCCACACCGGCAAAAGCGCTAGGCTGCCCTGTCCCTTTGTTGTCCACACCTGGTTGTCCCCCACCTCGTTTGCTGTCGAAACCCACCAACTGCAAACCTCAACAATTGTCGTTTGGAGCCAACATTGGGAACGAGCTGCAAGCTGCATCTGTCCCAGCATATCCATACTTAAGATCTTGCTCTGTTAATGTTTTTTGAGATATTCCACAATCAGTGGTTGTGAATCCAGTAAACATCTACATATACATCAAGAGGGCATTATGGTATGAATTCATTAAAATCAGAATCGGAGTATATGAGGAAAAAAAATACCATAGGTTGGGGGGAATTCTTTTTTTCCAATGGTTAGTGCAAAAGTGGATTGACGGGAGAATTTTTTTTGCAAGAAGTAAATTATGATATCTTATACCAAACGTGGACAAAAAAACATTTTCCATCCTACTTCCCCATCGTTCTAAACAACATTTTCCTGATCAATCTTGTTTTTTTATCCATTTGATAATACAGAGTCCCACACTAGGTGGTGAGTAGACATAATTGCACATTGATGCCACATCTGTTGCACTGTTAAACTCTAAATGGTTAGTCATAGAAGAAATTATTAGCCTATACCCCAGCCCCAGGTCCCAGCAATTAATTTAGACATTACTTATATGATATGCGTTTTTAACACATAAATTAAATGTTAAATATAAATTACATTGCTTTCTCCATTATCTTGAGAGCGGTTCATCTTCCTTACATCATGTTTGTTTTAGAAATTTTTTTTTCTTCAAAAACTTTATTGCATATATTTCGGGAGCGTTTGGCAAGAGGAAATAAAGACTATCTTATAAAGGTTACGTTTGATCTAGGAATGATCAAACCTGTAAGATCATTTATATGTATAAATATGAAAGGTTATCCTTACAACCTATTTTCGTTTATAACCTCTTACAATCATATCTTAATCGTTGATTTTCACCAATCAACGGTTATCATTTATTGTGAATTAATAATTAATTAATAAATTTTATTTGTGAAAACTTTAACCGTTGATTGACGAAAATCAACAGTTAAAATAAGAGTTGTAAGAGGTTGTAAAGAAAAATATGTTGTAAGTATAATCTTCCCCGCATAAATAATAGTAAAAAAATTATTAACCAATAATACAATAATATTATATACATAAAAAAAAGGCAAGATATTTTTACACGAGATAAAAATAAAAAAATGTTATTTTATACCCATTTTTAATAATTAATTAATTTATATTCAATGATTTGAATAATTAAAAAATTTAGAACAGCTAAATATAATATAAAGGTTTAACATTTTTTCTTTTACTACCAATAACATTTCTTTATTACATTGACATAAAAATGAGTGAGTTTTATTTTTTTTCCTCTTCTCTTTATAACGAGACTCGTTCACTTTTATTTTATGTGAGTGTGACAAAAAAATATTTTCTTTAACAAAAATATTTTTTTTCTATAATAAAATCAATAATATAATTAAAAATATAACTTATGTTGATATAAAATAATGTTAAGATACATATATAGAGGTAGGATATTGTAACAATTAATTAAGATTACTATCAATATTATTATCAATTAATTTTACCGTTAGATCGATTATGTTGATTCAACGGTAATATTTATTTCTATCTTGATATAGTTATGATTCCCCATATTTAATGTGAAAGTATTAAATATGAAAAATCATAAACATATAAAGGTGAAAATAAATATAAAATATTAAATATGAAGAATAATAATGATAAAAATAAATATAACTATTTGATCAACATAATCGACTTAATGATAAAATTAATTGATAATAAGTGCCTGTTTGGATTCTCTTTTTTTAAAACTAGAAGCTCCTTATAAGTATAAGCTAGGCCAAACAGGTTTTGGGAAAAGCTCTTATAACGAAAAGCTCTTTTTTTTATAATGAAGAAAAAAGCTGAAAACTAAAAGCTCCTAGGAGGAGCTTTTTTTAATCTCTTATCTGTTTTTCTTGAATTGTGTGCTTTTTTTTAAATGAAAAGTGATAAAGATAGAGAGAGAGATAATTTTCTTGAAATATGTGATTTTAAGTCATTTTTAAGCTAAAACTTTTATATAATTTCCAAACAGCTTCTAGCTTCTTTTTTTAAGCTCTTTTTTTTAGCTTTAGCTTATAAGTAGCTTCTAGCTTAAAAATAAGAGGATCCAAACAGGCTCTAATTAATTGTTAAAGTATCTTTCTTCAAATATATATATTTTTTGAAATATAAAGCGAGTAGACTGCCCGATATTTTCATAAAATTAACCCTTTCTCAAATGGTATAACAATAACTAGTAGCGCTGCCAAGCACTAGAGTGTACTTGCAGAGCGCAGAGAAAGTGAGTTAGTGAGAAAGGGGGGGAAAAATGGAGACAACTCCTCAGCAGCAAGGTGTGGTGAAGAAGAAGGAGACAAGGGGCAGAAAGCCTAAGCCGAAGGACGATAAGAAAGAGGAACAACAACATGCGAAGACTGCGAAGGAAGCGAGGAAAACACAACAGCAACAACAACAGCAGCAACAACAACAACATCAACCTTCGGTGGACGAGAAGTACACACAATGGAAGTCCCTTGTACCTGTCCTCTACGACTGGCTCGCCAACCACAACCTCGTTTGGCCCTCTCTCTCTTGCCGGTCTCTCTCTCTCTCTCTAGGGTTTTTGGTTTTTCATCTCTAATCTATAATCTAATTCACTACTAATCTCATAACAGGTGGGGCCCTCAGCTGGAACAAGCTACTTACAAGAATCGCCAGCGTCTCTACCTTTCCGAGCAGGCAACGCTACAACCTTTTTTTTTTTAATTTTATGGGGAAAAAAAATTGAACCTTTTTATTAGTTTTAAGTTGATGAAATTTGTTTTTGTTATGTTCTTGTTCTGTGATGGTGAAATGTGTATATGCTGTTGTGATTAATTGAAAGAGAGGAAAAAGATCAATTTTTTAATTTTTTTTATTATTTTGTTTGTAGACTGATGGTAGCGTTCCAAATACTCTGGTTATTGCGAATTGTGAGGTTGTGAAGCCTAGGGTTGCAGCTGCCGAACACATTTCACAGGTGAATTATTGTTATGTGAATGTGCATGTGGATAGTGATGTCTTTTATCTTTAAATAATTTTGCTTTGATGTTTGAAATTTGATTAAGCAGTTAGGATTTTTTTTTCCTTCAGTTTAATGAAGAGGCGCGGTCGCCATTTGTTAAGAAGTACAAGACCATCATACATCCAGGAGAGGTATGTATATATTCACATTTCACACTGATGGATAAGCTAAAAATTGGACGAATTTGATGCATATCTGAAGATGAATGAAATTTAACTTTGTTCCTTAATCTGCCTTGATTTTGAGAATTTTGTTTCCTTTTTCTCCTGTATTTTGTTTATTTATGGCCACCCATCAATGATTTATATTTTGGCTTGAATTTCATTATGTTGATAATCAGGGCTAGGTAGTCAAAATTGCGAGTATGCTCGTAAGGTCGTCCGATCACACGATTTGCCTCTCCTCATGATTTCATTCATACCCTGGAATGCATTTTGGTAGGATTGGGTGGGATTGCCGCGCTTGATTGTGGGATGTTAGAATCGGACGATCCCACCAATCCTGAAAAACTCATTTTCTAAACACCCATGCACACCCGACTGAAGAGCCTGACCATTTCCCAGTTTTTAACCCCCATTTCGTATTTGTTCCTACGTCTTCTATGGTGTTATCCATCTAGCTTCTGCTTCTGTTCACGGGCATTGTTGCCTGCTGGTTTGCCCACCGATCTGAGTTGCTATCCTACTGCGTTGGTGGTGCTGCAACTCTGAGTGGTGTGCTATGGCCTAGGTTATCAATCGTATGCCATTGCGTTTGCGCTGCCATCGCAGCATTGCTCAGTGGCTCCCCTCCGCTATTCTCATTCTGCTATGCTACGGTTTTGAGTAGCGGCCGCAAATTGTGCTGATGTAATGTGGGGCAAATCGCTCCTTTGCCCCTGTTTGTGCAATTCCCTGGAGCAATTTAGGGGCGAGTCAAACTTTCAGCCCCCTTTTTTCTGATATGTTACCGTTATGACCTTAAACCCTATCGAGCTCTCTCTTTGTTCTGGGAAGCCCACCACTCAATTTTCGGGGCTAGCCCACTACTAGGGTTGGCAAAACGGGCCAACCCGGCTCGACCCGGCCCAACCCGCATTCAACCCGTAAAAATCGGGTCGGGTTAGGGTTGGCTCAAAAAAATAAACGAGCCAGAAAACCCAACCCAGCCTAACCCGAGCCGGGTTAGGGTTGGCTCGCGGGTTGGCTCGATAATCAGCTCACGGGTTGGCTCGGAAAAAAGCTCGCGGGTTGGCTCTAGGAGAAGGAAGAAGATTCTGAAGAAGAGAAAAAATTCTAAGTGTTGAGCGCTAAAACGTTCATCCGGAACGTTTTAGCGCCCTGCGATAGAAAGAGCCAAAAGATACTGGTCTGGAGCGCTAAAACGTCCATCCAGAACGTTTTAGCGTTCTGCTGCACGTCAAAGCCAGAAATATGCAGGTCTTCAGCGTTAAAACGTTAAAGCTCAAACGTTTTAGCGCCCTGATGCTGGAAAAGGATTCTGGTCTTCAGCGTTAAAAAGCTCAAACCAAACGTTTTATTTTTTTTAATTTAAAAAAAATACCCAACCCGCGAGCTGGCCCGTTTAACCCGAGGGCTGGCTCGTTTGGGTTAGGGTTGTATCGGGTTGGCAGCTCATTTAGGCCAACCCGACTCATTTAGGACGGGTTGCGAGCCAACCCGACGGGTTGGCTCGTTTTTGCCAACCCTACCCACTACCTCCTGGCTCCATGTCTGACCAAAGTCAGTTCTTCTGTTCCGGCAAGCTTCTTCAACTGTTCCTTTGTTCGTATTTTCTAAGAATAGGATGGTGCTAATTTATTTTCTATGTATATTTCATTGATTTATCTCCTTTTTATTTTTGGAATATGATGATGCTAATTAATATATTTCTGAAACATTTGGAATTTTGTTGTTTTCTTTGTTAATATCAGATAAGTTTCCATGTATAATTGTGTTTTGGAAGTGCGATAAACCCAAAGAAAATAGATCTAGTCACACTGTTATGATTAAAATGAAAAAATATCCTTTGATGCCTATTAGTTTTTCAAATGTCAAATAAATGTGCTGTAAGTGTATATTTTTTTATAAAAGCGTACAGCCTGGTATAGTGTTTATGTGGACTTCATTGTAGCGTTTATACCACTACCCGTTGTCCCATTATTGTGGTTTTGGGCTTAGCCATCACGCGACGCTATATGAGATTGATAACAACTCTTTCTTGGTCTTCCCCTTCATTAATCAAACTTGAAGGTGCTGCATGGTTCATCATGGTGTTGTCCTGCATCTGAGTCATTTCAGTCGCGGACTCGTGGGTGACTGGGTGTGTTCTGTAGAAGCACCCACAAATTGTCTTTCTATTTTCATTAACATGTCTGGGCCAAGGCCCAAAAGACCTAACATTACAATATTCACACCACGAAGTTTTGGCTGTGTTTTGTGAGTGTTTTGCTGTCTCTTAATTTTATGTCACGTTGAAAACTTTTTACGTCTTCTATATTACAGATTGTAACACTAATTTTGATTTTGACTTTGTTATGTATTTTCATTTGGAGTTTATTGTAATATCAGTTGTGATTTTAAGATTTTTTTTACTTATGTTATTATTTATTATTAAGGGGGCAAACCGGAGCAGTGATAAAACTGTTCTTTCATGACTGAAAAAGTCATGGGTTCGAATCCAGGAAACAGCCTCTTTGCAATTATGCAAGGGTAAGGCTGCGTACAAAGATTGCCTCCACCCCACGCTCACTAGTCAGGTTTAACAAAGAGTGGTTTTTTTTTTATGTTATTATTTATTATTCTATATATATTTAAATATAATTTTGTATCTTAACTAAGATCTTACTTTCTGTTTTATGATCATACGAGTTACGTGTCTTCCACTCTTCCAATCCCAGATAAGATCTCAATTTTAACTATCTTGAATCCGGATGTTGGTGTTTGCTGATCTCATCTTTATGCTCTGTTTTGTAGGTGAACAGAATTAGGGAATTGCCTCAAAATTCTAAGATAGTGGCTACTCACACTGACAGCCCTGATGTAAGAACTTTACAGTTTGCTTTCCTCTTGTGTTTGTTCTTTGGAATTAGTTTGATTTCCTGGCTTTATGGTTCCTTATTTGTAACTCTTCAAATATCAGGTCCTTGTTTGGGATGTTGAAAATCAACCTAATCGTCATGCTGTCCTTGGAGCTACAAACTCTCGTCCAGATTTGGTATGGCTTTATAACTGGAAATTCGTGTTCTGTAACCTTTTTTTCATCTTGAAACTTCAATCCAGTTAGTAATACGAGATAGAATGAAGCAGATGCATGCTCCCATATATTTTCCTTTTGTGAGATAAAAGTGGGACGTTGTGATGTGAGTGAGTTAGATCATGCCGCAGCTTCATTTGACTGCTTTGTTGAATGTAGTTTTTAGTTATATGAGCGTGTGGCTCTATTAAACAGAAGAGTGGAGTAGCATTAGTGGGGCTAGAACAGGCCTTGGGTGCAAAAACTTGGATATTCAAATGGATATTATCAAATTGGCCCCTCCACTTTGAATTAATTGGCACCTGTCTTTAGTTCCCTTGAATTATCCGTTATTAAAGAAACTCCTAATGCAAAAACTCCTATTTTTGTTATTTGGCATGGCTGCTGCTTCTTGATATATTCACATAGAGCTTCTTTTCCAGATATTGACTGGACACAAAGATAATGCAGAATTTGCTCTTGCAATGTGCCCAACTGAGCCCTATGTGCTTTCAGGAGGTTGGCATACTTACCGTTTTTTCTTTAGACAATTTAAGTTTTTAAATTCCTGCTCATTTCTTGATGTGGTGGTTCTATATCTGAACGAAGCAAGTTACATTGCAGGAAAGGACAGAACGGTGGTGTTGTGGAGTATTGAAGACCATGTAACATCGGCTGCATCGGACTCCAAATCTGGTGGGTCAATTATCAAACCAAACTCTAAATCTGGGGAAGGCAATGATAAAACTGCCGATGGCCCTTCTGTTGGACCACGAGGTGTTTACTGTGGGCATGAGGATACTGTTGAAGATGTGACTTTCTGCCCTTCTAGGTAATTTGCATAGTGTATAGGGAGTTCTTTCATTCTTCTGTGATTTTCCTTAATGAAGTGGCTATTCTCATGTTACCACTTTTATGATAAAATCTACGGTGTCCAAGAGTGACAGAAACTACATCCCTCTCTTTTCTTCAGCCCGCGCGTGGCGTACTCTTCCATATTTCCTTTATTAATGTCCTAGATATCCTTTTTCCAGTATATCTTAAAAGGAAAGAGGGGGGCGGGGAGGGGGCAAAATTATTCTGTCTTTTTTATTTCTGTTTGAGGATCTAGTGTATTTGTACTATAATAACAGCATGAACTAAATATGTACTTGTTGAATATCTTTGGATATCTTTGTATCTTAGGTCATATCAGGTTTTTATTCTCAAGGATCAATCGGGTCTCTTTTGATTATTTCTTTGATTAGGGTAAATCCATGTAATCAATTACTTTTCTTATTTCCTTTTTAGAGTTTTGTATATATTGTGACCTCTTGGATTGGGATTCTGGAACAATCAATTCAATGCAGTCTTTTCACTTTTCGGATGGTATCAAAGCCTATGACCAAGTGGTCTAGAGCTTGTTCCTTGCTGCCCCATTTTTTGCTAATAAAAGTTAAATTTCAGTACATGGTAAACATAAAAAAAAAAAAAAAAAATGGCTTTTGCAATATCTATGCTTCAAAGCCCAAAGAGTTCTTACGTGAGAGGCATTTTAAGAGATATAATAATATTTTTATATGCCTTCCACGGCTTATGGGATAACCATATCTTCCTGACATCATTATAATCATGCTGAAGTGCACAGGAGTTCTGTAGCGTTGGAGATGATTCTTGTCTCATATTATGGGATGCACGTGTTGGCTCCAGTCCTGTGGTAAAGGTATATGCTTTATACTTCAATCATGCATTTGAATTTATTTCCCTTTATTTATTTTTTTCATTTAAGTACAATATTTTAGGAATGTTTTTTGGTGAACTCTGAACCGAGTATATTTTTTTAGTTCACTCCTAAACTCATTGAGTTAGGAGTATACCATGCCATTGAGGTTTTATCAACTGGGCAATTGTGCACCCATCTTTTAAGATATTTATATGCATAACCACTTTGGTAATACACAGTGTAACATAGTAACGCATCATTGTATTTTTATTTTTATTTTTATTTCTTTGAAGAAAAATTAATTTTGTTTTCCATGTTATGATTTGGGTGACAGGTTGAAAAAGCTCATAATGCTGATCTTCACTGTGTTGACTGGAATCCCCATGATGATAATCTGATTCTTACTGGGTATGCTCTGTTGTATAGTTCTAATTGTCATTAATTTGTCATTTAATATAGTTTGGACATGCTCCCTACTTTATATATATCATTATGAGAAAGTTGATGAAGCATCACATCCCCCCATTTGACTTGTCACCGTATCTCTCCAGGTCAGCTGATAATTCTGTTCGCATGTTTGATCGCCGCAATCTTACCTCTAATGGAGTTGGGTCTCCTATCCATAAATTTGAGGGTCACAAAGCTGCTGTTCTTTGTGTTCAGGTAATTCCATACATGCTTTTTGTTTTCTAATAATTCTTCATGTCTTCTAGCATTATATTATTATTACTACGGTGCAACATATGCTAATCCCTGTTTGTTTAATTCAGTGGTCTCCAGACAAATCATCTGTATTTGGAAGTTCAGCAGAAGATGGTCTCTTAAATATTTGGGACTATGAGAAGGTGCTGTTTTAATCAGATAGTGTTTCAATTGGATAGTATTTTGCTGCTTTCTTGTCACGTAAGATAATGCCTGATGTCATCACCTTTTGCTTTTGTTCTGTAATGTAGGTTGGTAAAAAGATAGAACGATCTGGAAAATCACCAAGTTCTCCTCCAGGGTTGTTTTTCCAACATGCAGGTCATAGGTATGAAACTTCTGTCTCCTCTGGTACATTTAAATATACTTGAGTTAATTATTCCAACCATCTAGTTCTGTAGTTGATGGATTACTTTTTACTTTGATTATTTAAACTTCTTTTAAGCAAGATTTTCTTAATCTGAATCTCTCGGTGTTTTTGTTCGTCATCTGATATAGCTCCTCAGGTTTTTTATCTTACACCTTTTGGTTTTTTCTTTGTGGCTTATGTTGCCTGATTCTCTATCTTTGATACATGATTACATTCATCTGTAATTCTCCACATACATCGTTTGATATCAACAACATGAAGAAATTCTGAACCTCAAATATAAATGACACAAACCCTTATTGCACCCCCTTTAAAATCTTGACGAGTGATTTTGCTATGATCATAGTCTTGCTAGATACCTGTCTGTTCAAGCTGTACTGGTTGCAAGCTTGCACATGACCTCTTGATGAATTCAAGTAGAACTAATCTCCGTAAGATAGCACCTAGGTAGTGGTTGTCTTGCATATCATTTTTTGTCATCTTCAGGCAGCTTTTGTTTGACTGTTTATCCCTTGTGAATCTTTCAACCCATGTTGTGGAGGGCCTGACAGAAAATGCAGGACTGATTATTTTGTTTTAAATGATTTTCTGTTTCCGTCCAAATATTTACTAGTTCCAGCGCCTTCCCTCCTAGTTATTTTTGTTATGCTTATGAATTTTGTATTTATATGCAGAGATAAAGTAGTTGACTTTCACTGGAATGCATATGATCCATGGACGATTGTTAGTGTGTCTGATGACTGTGAAAGTACTGGCGGTGGGGGAACTTTGCAGGTATGGAATTCTTTTGTTTTTTTCCATCTCATACGTATAGAAAATCATTGTTTATCTCATTTTTATATTATTGAGGATGCTACTTGTTGAAACAATTTATATGTGGGATGGCCAAATTTGTTGGTGCAGATGAAGGCTAAACCTATTCCACAATCAGAATATTTGTTTCAATTCTTGACATAATGCTAAACAAATTTGAATATTGAAATCATATTTGAGTTGAAGCACGGGGTTCAATGAATGAGGCACTGGTTGAATGGCATTAATAAAAATATATAAATATTTAATATAAACAAGAAATTATATACAATTTATACACATACAAATATTTGAACTTTGGGGCCAAGTTTAATACCGAGTAAAAAAAAATCAGAAAAGAAAAATCTATTAGCTATGTACCCAGCTTTACCCATATGGACTGGTCAAACTTGCCATTGTGGTCCAGTCCAAGTTTAATAACTACTATGATTGAAATATGCTTAATTGGCCTGTTTTAACATAAATGCTTTTGGCTGATGCATTCAAATTCACTTTTGTGCAGATATGGCGCATGAGTGATTTGATCTACAGACCAGAAGATGAGGTTTTGGCAGAGCTGGAGAAATTCAAATCTCATGTGGTGGCGTGTGCTTCAAAGTCCGACAAATGATATATACTTCGTAGGCATTGAGTTCTTTCTTGCTTGCTTGTGGTCTAGACACTGGATATCGTTCTTGCTGTTTTGTTTATTCAATCTACTTTTGCTGTGGATGTTTTTTAGCTTTTTAAAACCACCCCGTGTGGGCTGGAGTAGGTAATCTTAGATTGCAGCATAGAATGATATGAGGATTTGTGATTGTCTTCTCAAATTGTTATAATTATGTTTACTGTTTGAAGATTATGTTCCTTTGCTCGTGGTACAATTCTGTTTGCATAGATAAATTTGGCATGCATCCGAATATAATTTGCCAAAAGGAGCAACACAACTCCTATCTAACGCGCAGTGTTGATGTCAATTTAAAACGAATAGGTGGTTAGTCTCATTCTTTTGTTAGTTCCTTGACTAAAAAATTGAATGATTTTATTAGTCATAACTTGAGAACTAGTGTGGTGATTTTTTTTATGATTATGGAATTAAGGACAACTTTGTACTATTAACGGACTAATTAATTTGATGTAAAAAGCTTTTAGAGGACTAAAGTGATTAAGCTTTTCATGATTGAATAACTAAATTAATAGTAAAAGCCTTTTAAAAAAAAAAACTGAAGTGATGGCACTTGTACGACAATTATTAGAGTTTACCCCAACTTATAGCCGCGGACAAAATATCATAATTCTTCTCCTATATCTTAAATAGTAGTTTGATGTTAATATCTCTGGTGACTTTAGTCACTTACAAAAATCGTAATTGGTAAGAGAGGTTTTGGTTTTTACTTGCTGGATGATTTGGATGTGGGGGGAAATAAGGAGATTTTTTTAGCAGCACTTTACTAGACCCCATCATGATCACATCCTTATCATAGAGCAAGTCATGTTCCAACAAAAAAACCAGACATTGTACGTGCCAACTGAATGTTTGCTTCCTGAGTACATATGAAGAAATAAAAGTGGGTGGTGTTTTCCCCCTTATGATTGGGTGAAGGTTTATCACCGATGAAGCATCTAGATGAAATCTTGGGGAAGTTGGTTGTGGTGGTATTCTTCGTGCTATATTAACGGCCATTGGAAAGTCATTATGATTGGTCTAGTGGTGAGAGGTTTAAGTAGGTTGTGTGTTCAATTTCCATTTGTATTAAAAAAAAACGGCTATTGGACTTGTAGATTTTCTAAACACATTATTCGTCAGCAGAATTGTGGGGTGGTTTGCTTGTTTCGCAAATTTAATGAGACACTGGTTACAAAAAGAGTTGTTATTGAGTGTGACTTGAAGACCATTGTTTTACAATGGGATTAGAAGTTTCCAACATCCAATCAATGGGATGTCTCTTTCATGCATACCTATAGAGAAGGGAACATATGTTGGTGATTGGTTGGCCAATTTGATTGGTTGGCCAATTTGAGTATGGAGTTTATTAATCTTATGTTGCATGAGATAATTATCTCTTGCAACGGAGACAAGATAGTGGGGTCTACTACTTTTTCGAAAAAAGAAAAAATAAATAATGGACCTCATTATCTTGTCTCTGTTGCATGAGATAATTATCTCATGCAACATGAGATAATTATTTTCCTTTGAGTATAGACCACAACTTTGACAATGCTATTTTTGATAGGTCTGCAGTTGGTAGTTTTTCACTTCTGATGGTTGATTTCGTTATGATTTCTATGCCTTGAGTTGCTCTTATTGTTGTTTAGTTTTCTCTTCTTGCCACAACTCCGAAATATGTACCACCCCCCAAAAAAAAATCAATATTTATTCTCACAAATATAAAGCAACATTGTTGGTATGTGATAGAAGACTGAGTTACAAGGGAAATTTTTTTAATTAAAACATTATCATATGTAGAGACTCTTGAAAATGAAAGGTGTCTAACATATATATCATAGTTTATATAATGACCCTGGTTCGAAATATGTCTAATAGTATGGTATTAACTATTTAATCATATATAATTCAGATTAATTAAGTGAAAGGCTTAATACAAATGATTGGATTAAATATTAATCAAGCACATTGTAGATAAAATAAGTGAGAATACTTAGTTCAATCAATGTGGAGTGATAATTGTGATTGAAGATTTAATCGTGTTTAATCATATTCATTAAGTGAGAGGCATAATATAAAGTTTAGATTAAATATTAATTGAACACATTGTAGATAAAATAAGTGGGGCATTTAGTTCAACTAATGTGGGGTGTGTGTGAATATGTGGGAAGATACATTTAAGAGAACCAATATAATTAGAATTAGAATTTAAATGAAAAAGAGGACATGGAAGTTGTAACATCCCCGTCTCGAGCCGGTTCAATTAACATACATATGATACAAACAGAAACAGCGGAAGACTTAACTTACAAAAATATGAGCTAACTTTTTCTTTTTCTAACTTAATTCTTACTCGGCGTAAACGAAAATCGGGCAGAGTTTCCTCTATAAATCGGACAACTGGGGATTTTCCAATCCCACTCAGAAGCATTTCCTGATAAACAGTTTATACAACATATCAATTCAGAAATACCAGATATCCAAATATAATCAAATACCCATACATGGGCGCATGCATAACATGGCTCCGTGCCACTAAATCTAACAGCATGCCATCAAAACATAAACCTATCTGAATACTACATCATCATATAACGTTCCTGAATACTCAAATGTACATGCATCAACTGATAGACATGTACAAAACATATACAGGCCATATACAAAATAAAGGATCAATATCATGATCCATCAAATGCGAAAATACTAAAATACATCAAACACTCCAAAAAGGTAGTAGCCTACAGCCACTCAAAATCCGGTCTGTCAACTGCCTCAGCCACGTGTCGTGTCCCTGCCTAGTGAGGACTCACCGGAAATCTGGGCCCCTGAAAATGTGTCCCCAAAGAGGGGTGAGATTACAAATCTCAATAAGCTCCAGGTTTATAGAGAATTCTCCATACCCCTGGCTCACTCCTGCATGAAATTCAGATACAGAGTATACAAATACAACATATAACAGATATCATAACAGAACAGAGCATATATCCATATCATATCAGAGATGTGCGCCGTCATTCCCAAGGGAGGACCCCAAGCGGAAATCAACGCACGTGTTCCCGAGGGAGGACCCCAAAGCGGAACCAGACATATCAGAGGAGTACACCATCAGTCCCGAGGGAGGACCCCAAAGCGGACGTCCGGGTACTATACAATCAATGGCCAGAGATTGTTACAGAAATCATATTACAGAAGTCATATCAGAGCAAAACATATCATGTTATCAAATAACTCTATATGAATGCATCTATACAAAGCATCTAAATCACAGTCATACAGTCCAACCATAGTTCACTAACCATGGTGGAGCACTCAAGCAGGAAAAGACTCCTTAAACATAGAGCTTACCTCTTGAAGCTTTACCAATACGCTTACTTGTGGAACAAGTTACTTTTATCGCTTCAAGAGATTTCCGATCCTTCTCAATCCCTAGGCACACCTAGAGAATAATTTACAATGCATCAATAAAATGATGCAATACCATAATTATTTCATAAGCATACATTTTATCGCTTATTTTCCTTTCTTTGCATTTTTGCCAATCCTATGCCAATACACAAGTCTAGACCTCTTTATAACTGTTGGTGTTCTTTAATTTAATCAACCATTCCCTTAGGAATTTTCAACATAAATCATGCTATTTTTCTTCAAAACTCATCACCTTTATACAATTTATTACAACACATTTTATTTAAAATAAAATGTACAAAATATATCCCTAAATACCCTATAGGTCGAATCCTACAAGGGGAATTTCCAAAGATCCTTCTCTTTTACAATGCATTTTCGTTACTTCATTACAACTTGCAAACACCTAGGAATGCTTCCACTAAATTCCTATTTTGAGTTTAGACACCAAGTCCTTTTTACTTAGGCATTCTTACTAACTCATCCATTTTCACTCATTTCCAACACACTATACCTTCACAATACATAATATAATTTTTTCCACAATAACTCCTACTCACTCCATGATGGCCGAAACCTAGGAGGAATATGCAATAGGACTTTTAAATTTTTATATCACATGTGGATGCTTACTCAACACTATAACTTCCTAAACAACAATAATCCATCATAAATTTCACATTCTAACATCAATTATTTCCCAACAAAATATGCTCATCAATTTCATAACTTAAATCATCAAAATAATATCATGGAAATAGAGGTTTCTTACCTCTAAACACTTGTACAAAGCCTAGAGAGCAATCTCCAAGCCAAGCTCCATCCAAAAACTCACTTTTTCTCCTCCAATGAATAGTAACTCGAAAATGAGAGGAGGAATAACTCTTCACACACTCAACTATAGCTCAAATGGATAGGTGGAATGGATTCATTGAGTGGTTTCCAATCAATTTCATGTGGTGGGTCATTGGATTTGGTGGATGGATGATGAAGAAATCAAAGAAGGAAAATTTGAAACCCTAGCCCCTTCCCCTCCATGTGCAGCTCGGCCATGCAAGAGAGAGAAGAAGAAAATCTGAAATGAATAGTGTTTCATTTAAGTGACAAGGCTATATAGGCACATGTGGCCATTTTCATCGGATGTTTTTTTATCGCGTATTTTAACTTAAATTGACCCGGAACTAACTCAAAGCTACAAACATATTTTTTATTTCCTAAAATCATTTACATTAATTTTTATTTCCTAAGGAACAATATTCATAATTCACAGTATGGTTTTTGCACCGTTTTTGACGAAATGCACTGTGCATCACTAATTGTACTTCCTTTACTTACGAAACTTAAAACTTATAAACTTATCATTTTCTTGGGCCTATATTGACTTGCTTGGCATATATTGGACTTTCTTATTCTTATTTCATCAATTATTTATTTCTGGACTCTGCCGGTTGCTTAAACAGCAGTACAAAATACCCGGTAGAAACACTATTCACGAGATTTTCACGGAAAGTGCCAGACTATACAATTTTTCGTTCTGAACTCATATTTGTCATCAGAATTTTCAAATTATGTTCCTAAAATTATTTTGCTCATTTTAAGCTCTACCGGTTAATTCACAAAACTGTAAATTCTCCGGCAGAACGCACTGTTCATAACATAGTCATGATTACAGTCAAAATACTCGAAATCGCTCACTGAATCTAATTATGGCATTTAAATCCTTAAATTAAATCTCTAACTAAGATTTACCAGTTAGGGTCATTATAGAAGTCAATAGATGAGAAGTT